TGTGGCATTTCCGTTAATTTCAGCCAGTACTTAACACATTTAGACATATATCTTATACTAATTGGAAGGCGTCCGCATTCACTAAGGGCGAAGAAACTTGCAACGTTTTGATTTAAACATGCTAACCTTTTGCAAAATGATATATGCACATTTTCGATCTGTCGACATGTGTTATATCCCCAAAATGTGTTTAACCATAGCATCAAATAGTTTGAAAGCATCATTAACACTAAAATAACCAAAATGTTTCTGATAAGCATAAATAACATTAACAGCCTTGGTCGCCTGTATGGCTAGTACATCTTTCGTTTTAGTCCATGAGAGTTTCGGGGTAAAGTATGCTCCTAGGTAACAATTGACATCTTCTATTTCATTTTCATTATACATCCAATGCTCATATTGTCTTAGTGGGCCGCCATTTCTGAAAACGATAATCTTAGATTTATCAAGGTTTATACACATCCCAGTTTCCGCACAATAATAACTTATTTCATTTATTTGTCTTTGGAGATTTATAGCTGTGTCGGCAAAACTGGAGACATCATCAGCAAATAACAAACAATATAGCTCTCCTGAATGTTGTGAGATAGTGATTCCATTTTTACATTTATTATTTAAGTATTTCACAAGGTCATTTATGTATAGGTTAAAAATGATTGATGACGTCACACAACCTTGTTTTGTTCCTTTGGCGCATTCAAAGAAATCAGTCAATCCGTTCATCGTAGGACCTGATACTTTTACACATGATCGGAGTTGAGAATAAATATTCCGGAATAACGTTAGAAATCTGCCTTCAGGGGATATTCTCTTCCTTTCTAAACTTTCCCATATTTTGAAATGTACACAATTGTCAAAGGCCTTAAAAAAGTCAACGTAAAACACATATAAACGTCTTCTTGATTTACTAATATATTTTTGTACTATAGATTGAATATTAAAAATGTTATCAATAGTGGATTTTCAGTTTTACGGTAATAGTGACCTTGACCTTTAACCTTGTGACTTCAAAATCAATAGGGGTCTTCTACCCAATATGGACAATCATCCTGTGAAGTTTGAAAACTGTGGGACAAATGGAACTTAAGTTATGCTCCGGAAAACATTTTCAGTTTTACGGTAATAGTGACCCTAACCTTTCACCTTCTGACCCCAAAATCAATAGGGGTCCTCTACCCAATATGGGCAATCATCCTATAAAGTTTGAATACTGTAGGCCAAATGAAACTTCAGTTATGCTCCGGAAACCAAATTGCTAACGGACGGACGGACGCCAGGGGGTAAAACATAATATGCCCGAAACACTCTAGTGGTCACATTTTTTACTCGATCATCATCAAACTGTGTCAGGATGCTTGACTTGGTAATTGCTGGGATGAGTTTGAACATGGGTCATCTCGGATAAAAAACTAAATCACAGGAGCTTAAAATAGAAAAACATAGTTAACACTCTAGTGGTCACATTTTTGACTCATTTATCATCAAACTTGGTCAGGATGTTTTTTTAGGTAAATGCTTAAATGAGATTAAACATGGGTCATCTCGATTGAAAAACAAGGTCACAGGAGCTAAAAATAGAAAAAACTTTGTTAACACTCTGGCGATCACATTTTTACCTAAATCATCATCAAACTTGGTCAAGATGCTTATCTAGGTAATAGCTCGGATGAGTTCGAATATTGGTCATTTTGGATGAAAAACTAAGTCAAAGGAGGTAAAAATAGAAAAAAACTTTCTTAACAATCTAGCGGACACATTTTTTACTCAATCATCATCAAACTTGGATGCTTCTCAGGTAATAGCTTAGATGATTTCGAACATGGGTTATCTCGGATGAAAAACTAGGTCACGTGAGCTAAAATAGAAAATCCTTGTTGACACTCTAGTGGTCACATGTTTGACTCGATCATCATCAAACTTGGTCAGGATGCTTGTCTAGGTAATTGCTCGGATGAAAAACTAGGTCACAGGAGCTAAAATCTTGTTAACACTCTAGTGGTCACATTTTTTAATCATTTATCATCAAACTTGGTCAGGATGTTTGTCTAAGTAAATGCTCATGGGTTATCTCGGATGAAAAACTAGGTCACAGGAGCTAAAATAGAAAAATCTTGTTAACACTCTAGTGGCTACTGTTATGATCAAAATATCCTGGAAATAGGTCTGAAAGTTTGTTGATGATTTCTAAGTCAAGTGTGAATATTGGTCGCCTATTTCAAAAACTTGGTCACACTGCCCAAATATGAAAAAAACCTTGTTAACACTCTAGTGGTCACATTTTTGACTCACCTGTCATGAAATTTGGTCAGAATGCTTGTCTAGGTAATTGTTCGGATAAGTGCGATGGGTCAGGTGAGCGATCTAGGGCCATCTTGGCTCTCTTGCTTTAAATAATTCTGGATAGTTTATAATTTGCATTCAGCAACCCTTTTCATTTGAGAAATACAGCTAAATGAATTTAAATGAAAGAAAGTTTCTTTAAACTTCAAAGTCCTCACGGTAACCAAGTCATGCTGTGCTACATAACTTGTCTGGATATTAAATTCTTTTGGCGTTCAATCATGCGACTCTATCGTGAAATCAGCAGACATTTTGTAAAACATTGTCGAAGTTTAACGCTAAAAACTAATACAGTAAATGATCAAACGTCTTTAAATTTATCATATATATGTACACAAATCTTTTTTCTCTATATAATCCCCAGAAAAGTAATAAGAGAGAACAAGCCGGCAAGAATGAGTCTATTTTAACAAGACCTTTTTCGAGCTCTTTGCACTATATGAAACATTTACTAAGCCGTATTTTGCAGTGAATTTAGTTGGCAGTCTAGTTTTCTTTGCCGTTTTCGCATTTATTTTCTCGCTACATCACCTTTTTTTAATTTTGTAATATAATAAGCGTTACCCTTGACGTTACGATCATCCTCGGAAACCCAGGCTATTTACCGTATGTTGTATATACGGAATGTGTACCGTGGGTTCCGACCATGGACAACGATGTACGATATGAAAAAATAAGTGGTTTTTTTTGAAGAAAATTATGAAATTCCTTTTGAGATTAAAAGATGATAAAATATTTCATTTATGATATCAAAATGCAATGATTTCTTGTTTGAATGCACATATATAATGATCAAAGCCGATATACTGAAACTCGCTTCATTTTATTTTTTTCATTTGGGTTTGCCAGTTTGGAATGACAAAAGTAAGGACCCAAATAGAGATAGAAAACCTCATTGGTTTTTATTTCAGGGGGTTTTAACTTTTACGTCGGGGGGGTTTGACCCCAAAGGGTTAGCAATTGGCGACGTCCCTATTTAAAAGGATTGGGTAGTGTATAACTTAAAATTTTTGATTATTAATTTTAATTTAGCAAGAAAAAAAAAGGCCTTTTTCCAGTATTTTATTTATTTTTAATTTTTTTTTTTTCCTTTTTTTAAAATTAAAACAGAAAATTAAATAATTGCTTTGGGTTTTAAATTTTTTAACTATAATTTTATTTTTTTATTCTTTTAGTTTAAATTTATTTGAGCAAAAGTTTAAATTTTGATCAAGATGTTTTTTGTCCCTTCATTTTATTTTTTTTCAGGGGTATTTTTTTTTGTTTTTTCACGGCAAAATAAAATGGGAAAATATTTTCAAGATTCTGGACACCATGATTGCAGCTTGACAACAATGTTTTACTGCATTTAAATATAGCAGAAGTGACAATTTATAAAACAGTCTTTCAACTTATATGATGAATAAAATTTCTCATTTGATGAACATTTAATTAGACTAAGAAAACAAAGTTGTATTTAAATGTCAAGCATTTGGCTAGTAATTTTTAACAACAATTTTTAACTTCCATTGATTTTAAACAATGTGTCAATGGTTATTAATTCTTCGTTTAACTGCCATGTTCAAATAATCTCGGAATTGCTCATAAAATGAATCAATAAAAAAAACTTTGTGCAAGATACCCTTAATGTTCTTAAATCAATAATACTAAGATCAAGAAAAACTCATAGACATAATGAAAAAATGTAAGAAATGGATGAAAAAACAACAGGTCTGTAGAGCTTAATTCTTTATTATTGTCAAAGATACCAAAGACTGTAATTAGCACCCTTTCCTATTTCCAATAAGGCTAGAAATCTCCTTGAGAATTTAGCACTGGCACCTAAAACAGTAACTGAAAAAAAATGAAGAGCTTAAACGAGAACTTAAAAAATTTGTTGTTAAATTACAATGAGAACTTAGAAACGACAAACAAGTCAATCTAAAGCAAGTTATCATAATCATGAATACGCTAGATGAGAAATAAAAATACAGCCATGCATGTAAGTACAAGCAAGAATGTTCCCAAATTAGATTTGGAAGATGACGAATGACAAAAACGAAAAGGTTGATGCAGCTGCCAGAAAAGGTACATTGAAGTAAATTACTTCCATTCACAATGCAGAAGAAATTTACAAAAGTAATCAAAAGTAGCGTTTAACAAATTGAAATGAAACAATACATAATAAAAGAAAAGGGAGATAAGGTTTCAAAATAATGCATCTAGAAAGGAAATTGACTGGTTTGATATAGAAATAATAAAAATAATAAATAGAAATAGAAATACCTTATGTAAAAAATGAAATAATCAAACACAAAATTAGAAATAGAAGAAATGTATTTTAAAATAAAAGAATTAGAACAAATGAATTCATTACGCCCGGACCCAGAAAAAAAATTTCCCAGGGAAAATTTTGAAGTGAAACAAGGGAAACAATAATGCCTGTTGTAACTGAGTGTTAGCAAAGTAACTGAAGCAGTAACATTTATGGGAAAACGTTATCACGCTTACCAAGCACAGGTGTAAGGAAAAGACTAATATTAGAAGCAAAATGGGTTGCAAATGCTCGTAAAGCAGATACTACACTAAATGATATAAGGAAAAATAACAACAACAAGAACAAAACAAGAGAAATCAAAATATATAACGCAATGTTAGTACACGTATCAAGTATCTACTATGACAGATCAAGGATCAGACAATCATGCTTTTAATGAAACACTATTGTGCATTAAAATGTTTGCAATTCAAAAACTTTATTATTTAAGTTTATCTAAATCATCTTTTAAACGAAAGTCTAATGGTTTAATTTCTTTTGGTTTGTTAACAAATTTTTCAGTATAACTTTGTTTGAAAATAATATTTTTAGCTGGATTTTTTGCTATTAGATGAAATTCTAGTTGCATATTGAAGTGATAGCTTTTTTCGACGGAGATGAAGCGATGGTTTACTTATAATAAAAACTCAGTTTCTTTTGAAAGAAACCTCACATCTTCTAGGACATCTTTATTTTTCTTATGATTTTCAGAATTTAACTGATTACACACGAATAAATCATTTAGCACGTGTTTTCTGAACGAAAACAAGCATCTGTCATCAATCGTGTCTTGCCGTTTAGTACAGAAGCTAACAGCTAAACCTACACAGATCGTCGTACAGAAACCAATTAAAGAATACAGTGTATACGATATACTGTATATTGTATGGAGAAGGGATGAAGAACTAACAGTTTCATTAGGAGCAGGCGATGAAGTAAATGTCATTGAAAACGGAATACCGGTCAAATACATTGATGTCGTGCTGGCATTATAAAATTTTAGTGTGTCTTCTGTCATAACATTTGTTGAGTTGAGATATGAAGTACACTTGTCAATTGGACCATGCGCAAGGTATGGATACGGCGGAACGTCAGAAAAATTACTTCCGATAATTAGCCAACATACCAGTCCACATCCGCATACAAGTCCAATGGAAATTTCTGTTGTTGTTATTCTACGACACATCAAAGATGCAATAAAAAGAGCACAGACAGGTCCGTCCATACAACTTATAAATCCGATGAAGATAGCTGATATTGAGCCAGGAATGTGTAACATTAAGAACGAAAGAGCGATCGCAACGATACCGTAAAACAACACGAACATCTTTGCTATTCTTGTTGCATGACAAGGTGTGAAATGAACCTTTATAATGTCCTCGTATGTTATAGCAGATAAACTACTCAGACACGACGACAAAGTACTTAACCCTGCGCTTGAAAGGCAAGCTGTAAATAATCCTGCTAAACCTGGTTGGTTATGAAAAAGTTCAAGAACAGCATATGGCACAATAGCATTTACATTGTCAATGATTCCTGCTTCGAGTATGTCACAGCCCTTTTCAGAAAAATAAGCAAACAATACAATTCCTTCGAGTACTCCCATTACGACAATCATAGCATAAAATGGTGTTGCGATAACAAATAAAGCACGCGCCTTGTTCACAGTTGGTATGGAATATATTCTTTGCATAGATTGCTGAGCAAGGGTAATATAAAGCAATTGAGTTATTGATCCAATAGACACGTTCCAGAATTGATATCTTATAGTTGGATCAACATTGAAGTTAGTGGCATCGAACCTATCTTTAGCATACCTATAAACATTTTCTGGACCACCAACGTCTATAGATGATTTCACTAAAATAGCAATCATTCCAGCGGTCATGATTAACAGTTGGAAAACGTCCGTCCAAATGACCGCCTTAATGCCACCGATAGATGTATATATGGCTGTAACAAGAGTATATATCAAAATAGTTCCCCACGGTGGAATACCCAGAACAACTTGTAAAGCGACACAGGTGCCCACTGTAACGGATGCCATATAAAATAATGTATATATGATACCCGAACCAAGTGCTATATAACGTAGAACATTGTTTCCATATCGCAGATTGAAATATTCATAAACACTGATCAGTTTTAACGGAAACATTACTGGTACAATAAAAACTGCTGCAAAAGTGTATGCGACACATGTGCCAATGGCATAATACACCAGACCGACACCGTAAACATAACTCTCGGCGGGAAATCCTATAACTACTAATGAGGACAGGAAATTTACTGCGAAAGAAAGTGCAGCAGGCAAAGTGCTAGATTTTCGACCTGCAAGGAAATAATCAACGGTCGTATTTCGTCTCCTTTCCGAGACAGCGAAAAATATTCCAATACACAATGAAATAAATATTGTTAAAAAGAATATAATAAAGTCCGTTAATCCAAACATGATTTTTTTATTTCTTCGTATTAAGGTTTATACTTTGTTTCATATGCAACTTATATATTGATGGATGTAAAAGCTAAACATAATATCATCACAAATATATCATCGACCAAGTGCGATTAATACGCTTTAAGGATTAAGTGATGTTAGATTTTACAGACACTTTCTATGTTTAGAAAGAAACAAAAACAACAAAAACATATATCGTCAAACGAAATCGGAATGCACTATCCAAGCGTGAAATAATTTAAACACATAATCATTAATTTTATATTTAAAGTACATCAAACATTTCAATCATGATAAGTGGATAATGTTGTGCATTTGTGTGTAAGGAAAATTAAAAAAAGCTAAAAATGAGAAACGTTGGACCTACTGTAGCTGATAAAAACAAAAGAGGTTTACCAGCATTTACCAACCTTGTCGTAGGTGATAGAAGACTATGACATTTAATGTCTATGTTTTCTTAATATCAATAAAAGTTGTTTAAACACTTTTTTGTCATAATCATATTCATAGAGGGGTATCGACTTTTTTTATCGAAATTTCATGTCCCAAGCTCATTGATTATGTTCATCTGGTAAGTAAAGCATATCCACTCACGCTACTTAATTTTTTTCTTTAGCTCAAGTGGCCTCTTTAATGGGGCAAATAAAATTAATATGAACAAACTTTTTAAGGTAGAACACCCCTAATGGGCACTATAAGGAACTGTAAAATTGAAAACATAGAACAGTTATATGCCTTAAAGATCACCTGTATGGAAAATTTATACAAAACTTACTGTGTGTTTTATGAGTTTTGGACATTTTTCTGAACTAAAACTTTGCTATTAGAAGGATTTTTTTTCAGAAATGTGAAAACTCTAAAATCTTTAATATTATAATTATGGAAAAAGTTTTCCTACTTCTCATTGTTAAGAAACAAATAATAACATTCATGGTACAAATTAAACGAGCAAAATGACTGTTTCGTAACAAAATGTTTTAATATGAATCAAAATGAACACTACCCCACCCACTTTAAACACTCATTTGACCATTTTCCTATGTAAAAAGCCTCACTGTAAAAAGCCTCATTCAAAAAATTTACCACATTGAGGGGCTGTTTTCAAACTTTGAAAATATCTGGTACCATATTTGCTATTAAATTTGGCATTATTTAGCAAATAAAAACCTGCAATAATCAAAATATTAAAATCAAACACTTTTTTCTTCAATAAGTGATTTGTGAGATACATAAAAAATGATAAAAAGAAAAAAAAAAGAATGAAAAAAACTTGCCCCTCTGGGGTTTGCACCCACGCCCCTCAGTTTCAATGCAGTTGACAGTGATTCTAGCCTATTTGAATACTCGTCAAATTGAAGATAATGCATTCGGGGTATACTTCTTTAAAAAAAACACTTTAGAAATGCTACAGACCAAATTTGTTGATATCCATCCATTAAATTGTGATAAAATTTGACCATGACTGTTTTTCGGAACTGCGATTTTTTTTACTTATTTTAAAAATTAGATAATTACATAATCTCAGTATTTAGATATACATGTATACTATTTGTCAGGATGACACCACCTGTCAATATTTATTTCAGATAACATAGATATACTAGTTAACTCGTCCAGAAAGTTAATGTTTGGTTGAATTATCTTACTCTCTAACAGAAACAGGAAAAAATGTAACTTTTAACTACGTAGAGAAAAAAAGCAAAAGGTTGTTTTCAAATTGATGAAATGTATTCAGTGAACAAGATAACTCTTTTCATTAAACTATACAGGGCTGAAAAGTGATATTGTATGAAACAGTGCAAAATTACTTTAACAAGTGATAACCAAGTTTGCAAAATGTGATTCTGAATAGAAATAATTAAAATTGATAATAAAATAGCACAAAAATAAAAAAAATGACAAAGTAAAAACAATTACCTATCTGTTATATAAACAGTGACAAAATCCTATGCGCGTGGAACATCAGGTTCAACAGTGTGTTCCAAAATTTATTGAAATGTGCCTTCTTGAAGTTTGGATCCAATCCGAAAAAAAAATGAAAAAAATACAACAATTTTGAACAAAATATAATAAAAAAAATGAGCAGGATAGTAAGGTACAGGAAACAAATGTAATTATTCTTTAGGCCTAATTTTATTTCCTTGGGAAAATTTTCTATACTTAGCTAATTTAAAAGAATGATTAATAGTATGATGCATTGTGTGTCTAAATTCTAGATCTTAACACAAACAGATTATGAATTTATTTTTACCATTGTGTATATGAACACAGCTACCCCGAGTGACTGCGTCGCACGGAATTTCCATCAAATTGTCGACCAACATGCAATATCTTTACATGTGCATACTCGGAAAACACATCGCTAGCTAACTGCATTCCGATGTTTGACATAAATGTCTGTAATCTTCAAAAATTATAAAACAACTCACCTTGTTTATCGTGTCAAACGTCCTGGACGGATGCTCACAACGAGGAACGGAAGTTGCTCACACCATTTTTACCGATGGACATTGTACACTCGTGAGTTAAACGGGCGTGAGAAAGCTACAGACTCAGTTTGGTACTCATAGATCAATTAGTCCTGTAGAAGGAGACGTATAAATGTTTTTTTTCTATTTTTAGCGTTAGCGGTCCTTTAAAGAGGCCAATCAAATTCGTATGAGCAAAGACTACGTAAGAAAGCTAAAAACAGTTTTGTGGTCATACATCAATTAGTTCAGTAGGAAAAACTGTAAAAAGGTTTTTCTATTTTAGCTATGACGACCCCTAAAAGGGGACAATCAAATTGATTTGAACAAATTTTGGGTAATCATCCATCCATTAGTTCAGTGGAAGAAGACGATTAAAGTTTTTTTTCTATTTTTAGATTTTGAGGCCCGTAAAAGGGTCCAATCAAATTAATATGAGCAAACTTGGTAAAATACTACATACGAATGCTACAGACAGATTTTGGTGATCATCCATCATTTAATTTAGTAGTTGAAGATGTTTATAGCCTTTTCATTGATTACTCTGTTGATCTTTTAGCTTTATCTATAAAGTTTCATTAAATGAAACCAGTTTTGATGATAGAAAAAAAGTAAACTTATCTAATTCAGGATATGGAAATAAAGGTCAACAATGAAGGGCGGCATTTAATGCGCACATCCCCTAATAATAACCAACAACCCTAGACGGAAAGGAGCCTAACATGTGTCCAAACAAAATTAGAAGAGGACAACAAGCACTGACAGTGCGTTATTATCAACAATCAAATAAATCATAGAAAACGAAAAGAAAAATACATTAAAGTCATTCACAGGGATAAAGGTGTAGGAGAACGCCAATGAAAATGAGGCGGTATTTAACAAAAACTAGGAAAAAGGAAATAATTATTGTGAACGAAAAAGAACAAGCAATTATCAAAGTATTTCAAGTAATCCATAAGTCCCCAACCGGTTAAAACCAAGCAACATTCTAAAGGGCCATTGGCCATTCACTAATGTTTCATTTTTTTGTCTTTTTTAAGAAAATTTGTTGGAAAGGTTCTTTAAAAGGGATCACAGGAAACAGTTTTATGAACAGACAGACTTAATGACACTCTAAAGTTAATTTTCTGAACCTCCCTGTTACCGAAATATAACATTTTTAAAGGAAAAAATAATAAGGAGGAGATCACTCTTGAAATAAAGGTCCAAGGTGTTATAAATGATGTAAGTGTAACAAAAGAACAATTACTAATGACGCTGTTTATAATGAATGTTTTTTTTTAATTTGAAGTAAAAGAAAGTTAAAAGAATGAAAAAGAAAAACTCAAGGTTTAAGGAGAAGATATGATATTTCTGGAAAAAAGGATGCTAGATTCATAAACCTTGTCATATTGTTATGATGTGTGAGTTTGATTTGTTTGTTTGTT